CTTTATTTTTTTTTTTTTTTTATTTTCTTTTAATACTTTTTTATTTTTTTTTCTTTTTTTCCTTTATTTCTTAGAAATTATGTAAGATTAGGATTTAGTATAAGATTTGAATTTCATAAGATTATGATAAAAAAGACCTAAAATAAAATATTTTTTTCTTTCTATTTTTTCATTTTTTTAATTTTGCTAATTATTTTATTTTTTTTTTTTTCTATTTTTTCATTTTTAATTTTTAGGAATTATATAAAATTAAGATTTAATGTGAAATTTAAATTTATAACATTATAATAAAGAAAAATTTAGGATAAGATATTTTTTTTATTTTAATTCTTGCTTTGAAAATTATGTAAGATTAGAATTTAGTATAAAATTTGAATTTATAAAAAAAATACTTAAAATAAAATTTAATTTTTTTATTTTTTTATTTTTTAAATATTTTTATACTAATTTTTATTTTATTATATTATTTTTTGATATATAGATAACTCTTTTATTTCTTCATTAACTAATATATTAATCAAATTTTTTAAGAATTAAAAGAAATTCTAACTAAGAATATTCTAAATGAAAATGATATTAAAAAACTAATTAAAAAGAAATAAGTAATCAAAATAATAATTTTATAAATGAAAAAATTTAAATATCTTTTAGTAATGCTTTTAAATCTTTAATCTTAAATTTTATTTTTTAAGCAACAATATATTGATAAATTTAATATACAAGATTTAAATCTTTTTAAAAGATATTTTAAAATAGTTAAATAGCTTAAGAATGAATTCTAAAAGTAAGTAAATTATAATTCTTTTAATACTTAATTAGTTTAAATAGTATTTATATAATATTTGAATAATAATTACATAAAAATAATTTGAATAAACATTTTAATAAAATTTATTTTTGAATAAATTTTATATTATAAATTTATTGTTATAACTAAAAAATAAAAATAACTTCTATATAATCATTTAATATAATTTTTAATATGTTAGTAATTATATAAAAGTTATCTTTTACTAATCACATTTATATATATTTATTAATTTTAGTAATACTAATTAAGTAATTATATAAAAGTTTAATTGTATCCTTTTTGATATACCTTCTAAAATTTAAAAGTTTACTAAAATTTAAAATGAATATAAAAAAATTAAAATAGATTTTTTTATTTTAAGAAAATAAAGAAAATTAGAACAGTTAGATTTATTTTATAAATTTTTAATAATAATATACTAATTAATAATTTATCTTATATAAAAACAATTTTTAAAATACAGTCATCTACCTTTATAGTTATCCTCTATATAATTATATCATATAAATCTCTTATCATAAGCATATTTTATAAGAATTAATATCTAATTATACTATATAAAAATTCTTTATAATTATAGTATTTTTATAGTCATACTCTTTTAGAATCAACACTTAGTAATAATATATAAAAATTTCCTTATAGTCACTTTTTATTATAAACACACTTTTTATTTTTGTTCTAAAAGATATGATTATATGATTATAAAGAAAGATGATTAATAAAATTTATTAAATTTATTATAAAAAAAATAAGAATGCTTAAATTTATTTTATTAGACTTAAAAAAATTATTAAACTTATTAATAGAAAAATAAGAACTATTAAACTTATTTTTATTAAACTTATATGATCAATATGCTATTTAATAATTTAATCTATATAAGATATATTAATTATATTAGACTTATTAAATATAACTGAAAAGTTAATATAGAAATTAAGAAGCAAAACCTTTAGAAGTTTTTTTAATATAATAAAAAATTGATATTGATTTTAAGTAAACTAGAATTATATAATGTCAAAGGTAATGAGATCTTTATCTTTAAACCTTTATAATAATATTATATTAGTTTCTTTTTTATAGATAACTGCTTATTTCTAACTTATATTAATTTAAAAATACTCATTTTTCATATGATTAATATTTAACATTAGTCAATAAAATCATACATAAAGTTTTATTTATTAATAAAAAATTATGTTTTTTAATATTTATTATATTTTTGAAATAGGAATAATTATTCTTTTATTATTAAAAAATATTATAGATAAAAATTTTATTTATAAAAATATAATAAGAAAAGATAATTATTTGATAAAAAGAAAAAACTAAGACTAACAAAAATATAAAATTTGTTAAGAAAAAAGAAAAAGTAATTAAAAAAATATAAGTATACTTACTTGTAATAGTTTTCATATAGAATAAACATAAAAATATAAAAAAATAATAATAAAAGAAATATCAAAAATAACTTATTATCATAAGTTTTAATACTTTTAATATAATTGTTAATATTTTTAAAAAAACATTTAAAATTACTAATTTTTTAAGATAGTGGTTTGTCTGTTGATAACTCTTTTATGTTATTTAAATTTTTATTTTTTTATTATCATTACCATTATCATTACAATTATCATCTTCTTTTTATCCTCTTTTTTATCATTAGTATTATTTACACTATCATTATTAAAAATAAATAAAAATTTAATATTTTATAAAGGAATTATATAATTTTAAGACGATATTATTATAAATAAAAAAATGCTCATAATTTTCAAATATAATAAGCATTATGTAGGTTGATTACTAGGAAAATCAGGTTTCAGGAATTTTTTAACAAAATTGAGATTTTTATTATATTTTAGTTTTTGACGTTATTAGATTAAAATGCATTAAGCTCTTAATTTTAATCAAAAATTTTTTGAAATCTAATTTTCCTAGAAATCCTTTCATGTTATTTATAAATGTCTTATATAAATAAATGATAATAGTGAGAAATAAAAGTTAATGAAGAAATAATTTATATTGTTTTTAAGCTAAATATTATTAAATAAATTTATTTTATAAATTTTATTTAAATAACTAATTATTTTCAGTTTCATATCATGAAAAATATCAATAGCTTATTGATGATAATAATTATAATAAGAGAATTAATCAAATAGTATTGATATAGTTTATTTTAAGTAATATATTGAAAATTTTAAATTCAGAAAATAATCAGCATAAAAATTACTTAAAAATAATTATATATAAGTTTGAAGAATATAGAAGAGTATTTATTTTGATATACACAAATAAAAGGATATTGTTACATATCAAAAAAGAATTTTTAAATAATAAAAAATAAAGGAGAACAAATAAAAATAATATTGCTAGTACTTAGATTAGACAAAAAAAAATGAGAGTTGGTTTTGGTATTTATAATAGTGCATCTTTTATGCAAATGATAGAAAAAAGAATTTAGGATAAAGATTGATTATAGTAAGCGTATTTCTTTAGAAGCTTATAATAAATTGAAGAAAAAATAGTAAGCAACCTAAATATTCCTATAGAAGCTTAATCAGAAATGTTACCAGATCTTTGAGCATTTGTTAAAATAAATAAAATCCATATTTTTACATGAAATTTCCTAAATGTAACAGTCAATTTTGCTTCTGATTATAGTATAAACCATGCATCATATTCCAAAGATGCTCTTCTTGCAGTAAGAAGTAAATGAAAAGTTTAATATTATACGGGTTATTTAATTACTCTATACCTAATTTTGACTGGAATTGTGAAAAATTTGCTCAGGTTATGTAATTACCATAACTTTTCTGGCAGGATTCCGCGTAAAATGGATCATTATTTTTAGATACCAGAAAATGAAGATTGGATTATATAAAGAATTAAAAAAAGAACAAATATTCACGTGATAAAATACGAATGAAGGAATTATTGATTTATTTCAAAAAATGCTTAAAAAAAAAAAAAAAAAGGATGTTTCCGGATCATTGGATTCAACTAAACTAAAATCAATATTATTAATTAGAACAGTGATCTGAATATTATTATACTGTATATATATTTTCTTTCAATAAAATGTTACTTTTGCCCAATCGCCTACATATCTATTTCATACAAAATTTCTTATTTTCTTGTTCTTTGCTTTTAGAGGATTTTCGTTGATTAAATACAGATATCAATTCATGATACCCAAATTCTTTGCGGCATAATCCAAAAAAGAGTATTTCATGGATGACGGAATCCAATTTTTAGTTAATTCCTCAATACAAGTATCTAAGTCCGGAAAACACCTCGCTTGACAATAGAATAGTAATTTGAGCTGGATATGCCAGATTTCTCGATTCGATTTCGTTAATTCGGCCGAACCTCGGTTTCCAAGAAAGCTCCTAACTTGTAAAATTATATCGTCATTTATAATTTAATACAGTTGTTCAATATTAATAAATACTCTTACCACATTGACGACTTCAACTTTTCGAATATGTTAGGCTCATTTTCTTTCCTTTAAATGATAACATTTTCGACTTTTCATAGCATTATATATTAGGACTAGCGTTTTACGTTAATTATATTACTTAATTTTACAATACAGTAAAAAAGAGAACTACCACTTGCGATAGTTTTTCAATAGTTTATAAGGTCCAGCATCCTTGATTTGTTCATGAAGATATTACTTTCTGTGTGTTTACATGAGCCGAAATCCAAGAATTTAATGTCAGTAACCACCATATCATTTTTTTTTCACGAATCTCTTCAAAAATTCACTTACAGCATAAGTTATTAATAGTTGTAATAAAGAGTCCGATGGATTAATTGGCAATATCAAGTTGGTCGTTTGATAGTATTTCCAAATCGACTTTTGTTACTTTTGTTTACTTACGAAAAAATTTTTATATTTTTTTTCGCAAGGACAAAGACATTCGCTTTTCCAAATAATTGTTAAGATTTCTGTGAAAAAATTCTTTTGGCTTTTTTCATATTCAATTTCTAAGATTCTATATATATATATATATTTTTAAAAAAATTAATTTTGTAATTATCTTTTTATTTATCAAATAAACAATTAAAAAAAAAAGCTCACCTTATGGTAATTGCTGTAAAAAAATAATATTATCTCAAAGCTTTCATTGACGAATATACGAAATTAGTATTTCCATTTTAACATCATTAATCTTGATTAAGGTTTCGCTAATATCAAATGAACTAAATTTTTTGCATACATGGCCGTTTGAGAAGTATTCTCTGTTGAATATGAACAAGAATGGTTCGTTTTTTCGAATTTGAAGATGAAACGTTCTCGATTGTAGTTCATTTTTTCTATTAAATACCCGCAAAGGCAAAACATAATAGCGTGTCTATTAGAAAGTGCATAGCAAAGAAAAATTAATAAGATTTTTATAGTCTAAATTTTGGCCTGCTAAACATACCCATTTGTCTGCAAGTAGATATCTTCAATAACATCTGAACAAACTTTAAACTTATGTTCCAATTCGAACTTTTCGAAAAGCTTTTGCACTTGCTCTTTAGATAAATTAGGGTTTCGGACGTTGAATGGTGAATCGTAGTCATTGCTTGAGTACACTCAAGAATTCCAAAAGTTCCAACAACGACTACTGAAAGGATGGGATAATTCGAATTCGCGGTCATAGCGTGCTTGATGATGCGAAAGCAACCAAGGAACTCGTCACGAACTTTATTAATTGCACCATACAATCTATCAAAACTCGTCTACGAAGATGACGACGGAGTTTTCCAGACTTTATAGCTGGGTGATTAAATAAAGAATAATTAAATATTCCTATATCAGACCAGAAACGTGCTGTGCTAGGTTGTCTATGTGCTAGAAATAACAATTATGTCGTTCTGTTAACCGCTGCATGTTAAGATATACTCGTGATGACTTTCCGGACGTCCGCGGGCCGTGGAGTGCCACAAATTCACCTACTAAGATTCTATTCACCAGTTCAAATGTTTGTTTCCGCTGGGCCTGCATAGTATAAATATTTAGCTTAGTAAATATACTTACACAAGATTTCATAATCCATTACTTACATTTCTGTGACCAGTAAGACTTCAAATTCATTTTTACGTTCTGATCCTACATTTGTTAGAAATTTAAGGTTAAAAATGCATATAGTAATAAGAGAACATAACTGATTCCTCCTTCTGAATCAGTAGGTTCTTATTAACAACAAAAATAGGGCGCCTGAATTGAGGACTTGAAGTGGATACCAAGCTGTCAAATCCAGTAATTCTCCTGAGTTAAGACGCGGTCAACTAGGAGTTACCCTCACTATGCAGAATAAAAAAAAAATGCACCTTATTTTTTCAACGCAATAAAAATTTTTCTTTCTGGAAGTGACGAGAGCCCACGTAATTGTCAAGACTATCACATATATTGCAGAACAACGATAATATAAAGGCTAACGTTCAAGATTCTATGATACGATATAATAACTTTTGCTGCGCAAGGAATAAGGACTAGAAAGTCGAAAATCTGGTTAGTGATTAATATTTCAAGTCGAATAACGTTAATAAAACTTACCATTAAAAACGCACATGTCGATTATCTTTTTAAAAACTTTTTTATTTCACAATATAATAAATGGAGAAGTCTAAGGAAGAGAAAAAAATGCCAGTTGACTTTAAAATTAATATAAAATTCTAAAAAAAAATAAATAAAATAAAACTCACCTTATGGTAAATTCTTGTAGTTAACATTTTACTATTAATTCGATATAAGGTTGAACATACGAACTAGGATTCCATTGTGACATCGTTAATATCAATTAAACCACCTTGCAAACCGTTTGAGGAGTAGTCTTTGATTGTCTATAGACATGAGCGATCCGTTTTCCTTCATAACCACTTTCTGCTGCCTTATTAGAAACAGCAGAGCTATATCATTTTCACTAGTAATGTTTTTAAGTTTTTTTTCTGATTTTTCGAGTTCAAGCTTATTACTCAAAGAGATTGATCCATTCTAGCTATAATGGTAACTGGTTCAAACTTTAATATCCAATTTTTTGACGCGTAATATGTAGAAACTATTGCTAGAATATTTCCAATAACCATCATCAGAATCAAAAGTTCTAATTTTTATTTGTAAATTCCTTGGAATCTATTGGTTGCTGAGGTTTCAACTTTATAATTATGATTATCCTATGTTGTGCTTTTCGTAGTCTCTTCGAATTTTCCTATTTGATTTCCTCGAATGAAAATATAATCTTCGTTATTTTACACTGGTTTGTATTCTTTGATTATAAAATTCCAGACAGGCACTTTCATAAAATTCTTGCCAAGAATCATCGTTACATTGTTTTTGGCAGTTACACGTTAGATATCAAATTTTATGAACATCTTGTTGAACTTTTGTGACAAGCTCGCGGTTTGAGAGCTTCTTATTAAATTCATGAATCAGAAATATTCTTATTTAAGATTTCGATATGAGCGGTACTAATTTATGTGTAACAATGAATAGTTTTTAATTAAAATTGAAAATCAAAACGCGATAAAATAAAATACTAATATAAAAAATTTTTTTGTAATACCTTATTACCTACATAAATGGTTGTAGTTCATCCAGTAATGAATTCCGCTTTTGATGAAATAATTTCTTAAATATATGTAGTTTTAACGAAACGAGCCGAGTTGTCAAAGCACTCCTTCGCTAAAGTGTTTGAGTTTGATGGTCTCAAATTTAGAGAAAAATCCACTTTCAAGTTAAAAGAAGTAAGAAAGATTCGGACTTTGTACATAATTCTTTTGAAGTGAAAAGTATCCTGCATACATCATTATCAGCATAAACTCTTTTGTCTCGGGATCATGTGTAATTCCATAGCATTCAGTAACATTTGTAAAACTCGAATTATTGCGACAATGATATAACGATTTTAACTAAAATTATAATAAAAGCAAATAATTTAATAAATGTTAATTAAAACTTATTTTATAAGATTAATATTAAATAATTACCTCGCTCTGTTGATATTTTGAGAATTTAAAAATCTTTTATTTATTTAAGAACATATTCTAGTTGATCGATAAATCCATCTTATGCTATCTTTACTAAAACTTGTAATTTGAGAATATGGAGTCCAATATAATCAATCGCCAATAAATATAATTAATAGAAGTATCAAATAAATTATTAATTCCAATTATATAATCAGCAATTTGACGACTTGTTTGAATTTGTCGAATAGAGAAATTCATCTATAATATCATTTCCACTGAAAAATTTGTGACATCAATAGTGAATACTAGTCTCTTGCGTTTGTTTCACTGTTATTGATTGATAATTCCAACAATCATATTTGTCTTTGTTTAAAATGTTCGTCAAAATACTTTGTAGTTGAATTGACACGGAGCTCAAGAATTGATGTTGGATTGGCCAGGCAATTGGAAGATGCTGTGATCACCAAGTCATTATAACGGTTGGTTTCCCTTTGTGATGTGGTATTGACTCATAACTTCAAATCCTATTGATGAAATCCAATATGTGAAAATGCCAGGAAG